GTCTGATATCATGGAAATGTTTAATGTTAAAAATGCATAACTATTATAAGCTGACATTCAGACAGCAGTACACCAAATAATAATATTTGTTCATAGAGACTTTTTCCCTTCTCAAAGGCTGGTTTGTTTTCCTTGAGGGAGACTTTTCAATAAAAATACGTTTCATGCTTTATGGTAATCATAAAGCAATTAAGGGATCAATGTTATTCCAAAAATCATGCCAAGGCTGTTGATTTGGTTACTTAGTTATCAACAGATACATTTTTCCCCAGAAGCATTTTGCAAAGTTAAAGTGGTACTTAAAAATACAGAACTACATTTTTTCTAATGAACCAATGCTGCAACATTTTTTCCAGATCAGAAAGTCATTTTTTCTTTTACCATAATTACTGACATACTACACACACCCTTCCCCCCAAAATCAGCCCTGCAAAATGGCTGCCACTTGTCACTGGCCCCAGCAAGCAGAAGGAACGGAGTCCTATATTAACCTTCTCAGAGCCATAGCTGTGGGCTGAGTACTATAGTTTAAACCTTAAAGGAGCAGTAGAGCTGGCTCAGGGAAAGTGGGCTACTACTACACGTAGTCTGTAGTACTTTGATGAAGCTTGTGGTACGGAAACACTTTGTTATTTTCAATTTAAAGAAGTAACAATCTTGCTATTGCCCCTTCTGGAAACATAGTTTCCAGAAGAACTCATTCCATGTTACACTGTCAGCCATGACTGGAAAAATATTTTTCTACGTTTTGGCTGCATCTACATGAGACGCTGACTGCGCAGTAGCTCATTACTACTGCACAGTAGCATCACATGGCACAAAGCATGACGTGATACTACTGCTCAGTAACTCTGGTTAATACTCAGTCTTTTAGTACTTGTGTATGCAAGTAATAAAAGATTGACTGCACAGTAACAACTGCGCATTCAGTGTCTCAGGTAGACGCAGCCTCTGCCTTGCAAAACCAAGGTGTATGTCTTATTTGAGAGGCATGTGGTTTTAAATATGGTATATTCAAAAGAAAGTGTTGGTGGACTCTGCAGGGTTCTTGGTTGTAGCCATGTTGGTCTAAGGACGTAAGCAGGCAAGGTTCTTTGGGTAGATGTGATATCTTTTATTACATCAACTAAATAGTTGAAAAAAGTTCTTTGCAAGTTTCCGACACAAACCCCCTTCCATTTTAGATGGGTTCTGCAGCATACAAAAATGTATATATTGTATTATAAATAAATTAACCTGTTTTGATTTGTTCAGATGAGAGTTCAATACTTTACAAAAAAGGCTATTGCAGGCTGCCATAAATCCAGGTTCTTCCATCAATAGTCACTTTTGAAAATCTGGGCCTTTTCTTTTTTCATTAAAGTTTTTATTTTTATGGATCAAGCTCTTAAAACATGGCATTGACCTAAGTATCTATTAACTATAGTTTCACAAGTATGGTAAATAGCATTTATTTTTTTATTTCACTGCTACCTAAAATAACATATAAAAATGTATAGCATTAGAAACTAGAATATTTAAATATTAAAAATTAGAATAATTATATATGTTACATTGGGCATCTCTTTTTGTAAAAGAGATTGGAATACAGAGGATTTAATTAGACAAACAGGATGGCAGTTTGTGTGATTTTAGTTTTTTTCACATTCCTCTTATATAACTGCTCCAGAACACAACTCTGTTTATGATGATGTAAACCCATGGAAAAATGGAAACTGTGCCATCTGGAGCTTACTGTAACTAATAAAAACTTCACTCTCAGCCTCATTTGTTCAAGTCAACAATATTTATAACTATGTATGATGTTAAGGCTGGACCAGTTCCGGCAAGCTTGTTATGCTTTATATAAAATATACATATATATATTTAAAAAGTCTCCCTACAGAAAGGTTTTCCTAGTCTTAACAGAGAGCTATTGATAGAAGTATGATAATCTAGCTGACCTTGCATCTGTAAATGATTTGGGGAATGTACAGACATTTGGGGGAGTTAGTGGAAGGTTATGGCCACCTGATCTAAGGTAAATCAGGATGGGTGGGGGGCAGTGTAGTCTTTGAGGGATTATGGGGGGCACATGGGGTCCATGGGGGCATCAGGTGGGTTAGCAGGGTCTGCAGGAAGGTTAGGGGGGCAGGCAGGGTCTGTGGGAAGGATCAGGGAGATCAGGGGGCCTAGCAGAGTTCACGGGAAGGATTGCGGGGAACAGGAGGACTGGTGGGGTCTGCAGGGGGATCGGGGCTTTCAGGGGGCCTAGTAGAGTTCATGGGAGGGATTGTGGGGATCAGAGGGGCAAGCAGGTCCACATAGGAGATTGTGGGGGCAGGCAGGGTCTGTGCAGGGAGAGAGATTGGGAGGATTGGGGGAACTCAAGCAGGTCAATCGGGAGGGTTGGTGGGACTGGGAGGGTTTGGTGGGATTGGGGGAGCAAAAGGGTCTGCATGGGGGCTTGGAGAGATTGGGGAGACCAGCACAGTCCATGGGGGGTTGGTGGGGACTGGAAGGGTTTGTCAGGTTTGGGGGGCAAGCAGGCTCCACAGGTGGCCTGGAGGGATTGGGGGGCTAGCAGGGTCCGTGGAGGGTTGTTGGGGTCCAGGAGGGTTTGCTGGGATCAGGAGGGCTAGTGGGTCCTCTGGGGGCTATTTTTAGCCCCTCAGCTCCTCCCACCCTGAGACACACAACCCCCCAGTGAACCTACCCCCCCGCATCCTGCCCACACTTCTCCCCACCCCAACTTACTTTGATCAGCTCCTGTACATTGTACATTCACAAATGCTTGCTGCATGAGCTCTTGGCTACCCCTTTTGATTGCCCCTAGTTAGTTAGTTAGTTAGTTCAGACTTTAAACCCAGGTTCATTTCTGTCCCTACACATGCTTTTAGTTTTACCATACCTTTAATTAAAAAAAAATTTCTATCACAAATTTGGACTCATAAAAAATCAAACTGGTTATGTTGAGGATATACCTACACTGCTAGTTTTTAATTGTCCCACATTTAATCTTTAACTAATAGTACCTATCTGCAGAATATTTTTAACAGAATTTAGTCATAAACCTCTAATTGTTATATGTAGCCGCTTGAAATTTTTAATTTCAATTCATGCTTATATTTTTTTTCTGAGAAAAACATGGTCAGCAAAGGAGAGATTCTTTCTTCTGAGGAAAGAGAAGAGAAAATGGCCTTGCAGGGCTGGGCAGGCTTTCTGAGTTCTTTCTTCCCGGCTGTGTTATAGACACCTGGTATAGATACCTGGTATGATTATGGGCCAGATAAAAACCATTCTCTCTCTCACATTTGTAATCTGTAAAATGGGGGTTATTAAACCTCCTTGTTAAGTGAGACATAACATTTTAAGCCACTTTATAATTGAGGAACAAATTAACTCAGATGGGATATGATGCAAATACAGTGTCATTGATTTTTTTTCTTGATAATCATTTTACCAAAACTTCAGCACTAAGTTCACTGTCCTGAGTTTGGTGTTTAAACCTTCAGTTTGTTTTCTTCAATTACTAACATAAATCAATAGGAGTGGACCACTGTGCTGAGAATGACCATGGCTGTGAGCAGCTGTGCCTGAACACAGACGACTCCTACCTCTGTCAGTGTTCTGAGGGATTTATCATTAATGAAGACCTAAAAACCTGCACACGTAAGTCACTTGATAATCATTTTTTATTCAGAATTAAAGAAGGGGAAAGTGCTAAGAACACAGAAATTGTCAAACTGGTTCACTCCTGAGATCTGTCTAGCTACTGTCCAGTCTTTCATGGTGGCCAAAGAAGATGTAAAACTCCACAGAAGCAGTGTGGAGTAATCTGCTTTCACATTAAATCTCATCCTGATCACTAGTCATTCAGACTGATTTAAACTCTGAAGCATTACATTTACTATCCTTTTCACAACATTTATCCTTAATTAAAACAACTCAGAATATATTGATATCCATATAAATGCTCCTTAAAACTTAAATATTAACTTTTTGCTGGGATGAAAATTGACCCTTTGATTTTTCTCTTTCCTTTGTCCGTGGGCCACCATCTGCTCTATGACAATGTGTTTGCCTCTTACCTTATAATGACTGCTACTAGTAATTTTTTAAAAAAGTGAAAGTTAATAACTTATTCCACATCAAATTATGCTTTCAGCTAAGCAGCTGAGACTGTTAATTTGACCTGGCTAAAATCCAAAGACTGTTCTTCTCCTGTTACGTAAATTGTATTTCTTTTGAAAAGAAGAGGGATGAATCTTCAATTTCTACTTGCCTCTTGTGTTTTTTAAAATTCATTAATACTGATTTGGGAATGGGCATAAATTTTGAATGCTCGTGAATAGTTACATGAAGATGGAATAAAAAGCAAAAATCTAGCCAATATAAAAACAAAACCTGGAATTTTCAAATGAGTTTAGGGGACTTAGGTGCATAAACCAATGAGCTCTGGATACCTAACTTCTTTCAGCTGGAATTTTCAAATGAACCTAAATATTATTATAAATGACTATAAGAACCATGAAAGTTCCTACTAAGTATCTTCTCTCTTCATTAAAAAAGTACAAAATATACCACCTGCTCATTCGTAAGACGTCAGATCTTCCTTTCTCGCCATACATAATGCAGGGCATATTAGCCATCTTTACCAAAATCCAGATATGTACTGAGCCTTCCAAAGAATAGGCACCATCAACCTCTATTAAATATATACAAAAACCTTCCAAAAAAGACTAGATTCCCTCTAAAATATTTGTAGTCAAGTTTGCCAGTGTGTTGTGAGGGATCAAATACATACTTCACAGGAAAATTTATTTTCAGTTCTCACCTCATATGCTCCTTGCATTCAATCCTTCAGCTCCTGGATCTCTCTGCCAGCTAGATACCATTTTATAGTGGGGAAATTTAGGCCATTTGTAGAAGTGCTCACTATTTTCTAAACTGCATTAACTGATTCGCATCACACAGTTCAAATCAAATTTCAATTTGAATTAAGGGTTAAATGACAATCATTGACAACCAGTCCCTTAACAGACCCTATTTGCAGCCTCTGTGTGGGCTTATGCGCTTGCCATTTGCAGTTGGAAGTAACTAGGAGGTGATAATAAGCCTGTTTAAACCTATTACATTGTTGCAAACCTATTGGCTGTGTGTGTCTATATGAGATGCTTTACTGCTCAGTAGAGCAAATTACTGCATAGTAAGCATTACGGCTGTAGGAAGCTTCGGTCCCTGATTCATTTCAGCAGAAATTCGGCCCGATTCAGTGGCTGAATCTCCGAATCTGAATCTAATCAGGAGACCCTTTAATCTCTCCAAATCAAAGTGGAACCCTCCAAATCAATTTGGAGAGATTCGGAAAGATTTGGCGATTCAGACATAGACACAGCTTTAAATGTTTTTTCTACATACCTCAAGATGACATATTCAGGCAGTCCCCATCCAAGGTGATGTACCTCAAGGTGACAGTGATTCTATTCATTGATTTGGATCACTGTCCCCGATTTGATTCGGCTGAATCCGAAGATTTGATGCTGATTTGGAGAAACAGTGTTTCGGCCATAGACATAGCTTTAAATGTTTTTTCTACATACCTCGAGGTACCAGGTGCAGCTCATGAATGCTGCGATGGTGGGGTGGATGGAGCATCCCACAAAAGCACAGGGCAAACCCAGAAGTGGACTGGAAGTACATCTGGTCCACTTCCAGGTTCACCGGGGAGTGCACAGGGCTCCCACCCCCTGCACCCTTCCAGCTTGGCGATTTGCCCATGGGGGGACCCCGGATGCCTTCCCCAAACCCAGGAGGCACCAGTCACTAAGCCAGGGGGAGCACAGCATCAAATCTTCATATTTGAATTTAGCTGAATCAAATCGGGGTCAGTGATCTGAATCAACAAACAGAATCACTGTCTCCAATTTGGGCCAAATCTGAATCGAATTCAGCCCATTCACACACCCATAGTAAGTCTGCATCTACAACCCTTATGCACAGTAATTTACTCTATTCAGCAGTTAATTTGCTACCTGCAAATGCAAGTAGCAAATTAACTGCTGAGTATTACTGTGCAGTAAGGTTTACTGTTACCTAAAGTGCTGTTCCAAAAATCTTATTGAGTGCAATTGACCTGAGTGTTGATGACTATCTCAGCCAATGTGTTCTGGCAGTGGGGTGGGGTTTTTTTTTCCTTTGTGGGGATTGATATTTGGAGAGCTTATTTCCTGAGTTCCTAAAGAGGATTATCTAATTAGTTCATTCAGACTGGACCCAATTTTAATTCAGACTACAGACATCAATGAGCATATAGTGACAACTGTAGTCCGGATTAAACCTAGAAAACGTGACATCTATAAATGGCATGAGAGACTGTCTTCAGGCTGCAGTTCCACAATCCCTTTGAGAGGGGATGGCTCTAGTCTCAGTTACCCAGAGCTTCATGTGTCTAATTCTGCTCTCTCTCCTGCTGGTAGGGGTGAAGAGGATACTGGGCCTATGCTGTTCTCTCTACTGTTAGAGATGAGGGTTTTAATGAGTGAGCAGTCTATTATAGCTAAGCAGCCACTGGAATATTTCACCCTCTACTTTCATCAGCTTCTATCCCTCTTGCTCATGTGCACACATATAGAACAATGGGCTCCTGCCCTTAAAGCCACATATGTGTATGTAAGTGTTCTGTTGCTTTACTGCTTACCCAAGAGAAACAAGTCCTCAGGACAGAGTCACTAATCCATTTTGCATAGGAGCCCCAGTGCATCAGAAATTAGACTTGGTTTAGCAACCTTTCTATTTCTTTATGCAACTAATGAGCATTAAGAATCGTTGCAGTGTAATAGGGTTTGTGAGCCAAATTGCCATTGGAAAAAAATATGCAGAAGGGGCCAAGAAGGAAAGAAAGCTGAATGAATGTCATCTTGTTGACTTTTCCTGGAGCTGTCCCTTCTGGTGAGAGAGTTCTGGCAGATTTTGCAGACTTTGAAAGCCACATTACCTCTCAAGCCTCTAAATTTACTGCTTTCCTTTCCTTTGGGCATAGTTTCAGCAGG